GATTTCAAGAGTTAAGTCGTAATATTACAAGAAAATGAAGAAGGCTGTAATTTATTGAGATAGAAATCATAATGTTTTGAGAAAAAGAAAAAAAAATTAGGCAGCAAGGACAGTCGGTGCCCTGCAGTGGTGGATCCAAAATCTTGAACCAATCTGCTTCCTACTAAACAGACATCCTCCAAGTCTGTGTGGTTCTTTCTTCAGCACAGATATAGTTTCTTGCGTAATCTTTTCAAAGTCCTGATACATATGATGATGTGGAGCTGATGAGCCAGCAGATGAATTATTATGTTATTTGTGGATCCTCTACTAAAATATAACTTGACAAGATGCTCCACATTCCTTGATTTAACACGACAGGTTGAACTTTCGATATTCCACCTCTAACATGACTCATAGCCTCACAACTTTAGTCTCATAATATCATGACTTTATACTCTTGAATGCTAATAAAATAAAAGGGTATACTATTTCAGCAGTATCTTTTTTATCCTCCATTTGACTGTCCACTAAGCACAAAGATTTCCTTCCTAATACACGTGAAGTGGCACAGAGGCACATGCTAGATCTACAGACACAACATGGGCAGATCACCAGTGGATGAATATAAAGTCTGCCGTTAGCTGTGGCAGCTCGTGTTGTTCCCTCTGCCAACACAGGTATACTAAAAAAAACACTTAACATGGGGAGTGCCAACTTTCACAGAGTCCTGTGTGAAATATCACACATGAAGTCAGACTCAAACACCTCTTCAAATATCATTAGTGTGAAGGTCCGTGTTGTTATTACCAGACACGGCTGTAATGTTGGTGTTGATCTTTGTGTATATTACTTATATAAAACAAAGCATAGAAAGGATGTGAAATACAGTATCAACATGTCAAAGTGTGTGTTTCTGGGGTTGGTCCATTTCTGTCGTCTTTCGAGTCTGTGTTTACAGTTGTGTGTTGAGTCAGCGGTGGATGTAAGAAGAGCTGCCAGGAACAAGTGTGTGGAGGCCCTAATGGCTCATCATAAAACCCTTTAGATTCCTGCTTTTTTTTATGGGAGATGGAAAGCAGTAGGACTTTTAAGAGGGCGTTCTTTTCACAGCTTTGCTTAACTAGAGGTGGGCCGCGGAGGAACAAAGACTATTTTTCCACTTTTGCTTTGTGAGCTTAAAATCGGCATGGGGTGTTCGACAGCAACCAGGGATCACAGAGAAACCAGTTTCATCCTCCCGAATGCACTGGTGTCACACCAGCAGGCTGCGTATTATGTTTTCCAACTAATTTAAATGTGATTGTCTGATAGATTTTCATTAAAGTTGATGCAAAGTGTGGCTGTGATGAAGATTATCAATATGCCAGTAATGGAACCCGTTACTTTAACAGTATCCTGTTAAGTTTAATGGCCGTCTGCTGAATGTTTTCAACTTGTATGGACACTTCTCCGACTACATTTACCCACATTCCTCGACTGTCATGCAGACACAGAGACACTCCAACAGAGAGTAGAATGTACAAGTCACCCAGAAGCCGTCTTTTCACCTCTGATCTTTTCCCCCTGACCTTCACTGGGCTGCACACTGGAGCCATGTTCGCTGGTGTTCTCTGGTATAGGCCTGAGTGTTCCTAAATAAATCACCTTGCTTTGTGTCACTGTTGCACATTTACACTCACAAGGCTGGAAAACACGGCAATGTTGAAAATCCCTATGTCAATTTCTTTCTTTATCCGCGGAGCCATGTGAGAGCTCTCGCATTACCCTCGCTGATACTCTTTACCACAGACGTTTAATGTGATTTAAGTGAACGAATGTTTTTCCGTCTCTGTCAGCAATTTGCATCACTATGAGCTGGAGTCTTAGTGGAATTCCCCAAGAACAAACTGAAGTTTAGGATAAACGCAAACAGCTGGTTTGCACAGCAAAAGTGCATCATCTACCGTGTTATATATTCTATACAGTGATCAGTAAATCACATCTGAGAGTAAATAACCATGTGGAAACACTGAGTAGCACCTAATTGAACCGAGTTTTTCTAATAGGCTTTGGTTGCGAGGTGCTGTTGAGCCTGCAGATGCCTGGCAGTGACCCAATGGGCTTTGATCAACGGGTTCACATCGGCTTACCCATCATGCTTCAGTGTAGCCGGGATTAGGGTTGTCAGGAGTTGTTACGATAACCTTTGTGTGATTGGCCGGAACATGCCCACTTAGTCTAGCTCTGCTGTACAATCTGTGTGTGTGTGTGTTTAGAAAACTTGGACACCTGAGAGTTCATTCTAACTTAACTTCTGTGAAGTAATTTGTCAGATTGTTTCATCTGCGGTTTAAAGTAATTATCTTAGACTGCACTTATGTAAACTTAAATGCCTACAGAAGGTCTCACATGCAAGTTTGAATGAAACTTTTATTGACCATTTTTTCATCTTGATGTGCATCAGTAACAGAGAACATATAATGTGTAATTTTGCAATGGGGAAAATACTTTTCAGGTTGATGAATGCTTTGAATATAACTTCCCATAGACACAGACAGAGGGTTTCGCTGGCACAGTCTGCTTCTATGACTCAGCATTTTAATTTGTGTGGCACCTCCAAATAATGTAATCCCATGTGTTCTTGTGGTTTTACTTACCAGGGTAATATGAGGAGTTTCAACCGTATAGAATTATTTCCAAGTAGTGGTTATTTTCTTGCTTAAACTGCCAATCACAATTTCCCAGAACCCAAAGTGACATGTCCAGGTTTCTTAAATACTAGTAAAAACCCAAAGATAAAAAAATAAATAAAAATGAGGCATGTTCTCTTTCTTCAGCATCTTTGATTGGAATAGGACTTAAATGATCCATCGATTACCAGAATAGATGCTGAATAAATGCATCTTAATTGTTTGTTGGTTTTACTCTGAGTAAAATGTTCATGTATTTCCTTGTGTTTATATTGTGTCTCTATCTACCTATTACTTTGTCTATGTTAACTATTCCCTTTGTTGCTGTGACACATTCCCCACAGTCGGACTAATAACAGGTTATCTTATCTTTTGGGAAACCGAAAATGACTTCAGGGTTTCGTGAATGTGAACCTGCTCCACCTGCTGTGGTATTCATCATTTGAATACCTTCTTCATTCCTTTACCTGCAACTCACATTCAAACTATGTGATTATATAAATAGTTACAGGAAGAATGGAAGCTACTTTTTAAGTGAGGTGACTGATGTCCCTACAAGGTGATATCTGATGAGTATCAGTCGGTTTGCTCATCGCCTTCTCTTTTCATGTCCTTTTACTTAAAATTCTGCTTTCAGAAAGATAAATATATATAGTAAGATATCTATTTTAATTTGTTGTAATTTTTAATTGAACACCACTGAGGAAGAGTTTGTACATAGACTTATTTTAAATGCAGTTTTCCTAGTTGATTGTATATTTCAAACTCACCCCATGCCTTTGTATTCATAGCTTTATTTAAACAAATTACACTGACACAACCTTCTTATGGGATTTGGCAAAACAGCTGTGAGACATTACACACACAAAGCATAATTATAGTTGCATACACAGGATTTCTGACTGAAAGATCATCCTTCCTACTGAAACACACTGGTGATGTGGTGCGGCTGCGTGTCGGTTTCGGACTGAGGTGAGGGTGTGGAAGGAGGGAGGGCGTTTCACCATAGACCTGAAAGGAGACTTTGCTGCAACTCCCCTTCAATATGGTTCCCATCAGCGGAACTTGCACTTGTGGCTGAAATTCCAGCCCTGTTGCAAATGCCTCCTCTGGATTCAATCAAATCAACTACTGCCGCAACATGTGTAGAAAATGAAGAATAACATATGTTTGATGATGCTCAGATGCTTTTGCAGAGGCATCAATCTCTATTTCACAAAACCTGCTTTCAGACATACATCGAAGTTCAGACATTTTTCCGGAGGAGTTGTAGGTGAGAACACGAATGACCCAGTTAGTTGCTCCGGACATTTTCCAGAACTTTTCCCGCCACCTTCCTTATAAAATATCTGGGTGGTACACAGCAAGCGAGTGGCAGTGTTGACGTTTGTAATGCGCCACAAACACGAAACGGAAAAAAGCTAAAATATCTCAGGATGAAAAAGAGGTGTATGTTCTGTAAATGAAAACATGGGATTTTAGCATGTTCTACGCACACGCCACTCCTTTCCTGAATGTTGCTGACATTTTCCCGTTGTTTTAAACACGTCTGACCCAGACAGTCACCTGCTGGGTTCTTCATATGTGAAAGGCCTGTCTGAAAACGGCTTTACAATCCTTTATCTGCTTCTTACAACCTGACTCTGAGGACTTGCACTGGGACATTGTGCACAGACCAAAACTCCCACCATGTCCAACAGAACCTCAACACTCCCTTCACTTCTTCTCCAAAGCTATAATTAAACAGGCTCTTGCTTAGTCGACACTCTGCACAGGACCTGTAAGAGGAGGTGGTGGAGGAAGACGACGTATATTAATGAGTCAGCACTGTGTAGGGAGTCGCATGGCAGACATGCGCACTCCTCTGAGGCCGGAGGGACAAGTGGCCAGCTGGCTCTGCTCCGAGTCTCCATATTTGTTTAAATGTTCTCTCCCTCCACAGTGTACTTTGACTGGATCAAATATTACAGTAGACACACACACACACATAGTATCATTTTTATAAAGCAGGTGTCCCACACAGTCAGGCAAAGATGACTCATCATTTTTGCAATGGAAGTTTAGGAGCTGATGCTCCCGCCTGGGGACCCTAACTTCCTGTCACATCAGGCTTCGCTGTGTCCAGATTTCCTGTCTGCCTGAGAGGGGAAGATTAGAGAGCTATGAAGTTATTTTTTAATCAAGGAGCGCACACACACACACACACACACACACACACACACACACACACACACACATATTTCTCTGTCCTACCACAATTCAAGGAATGCATGCATCTTATGCTACATCCTCACTTTGGTGTTTTTGTTTGAAAACGCATCATCTCTGCCATGGATTCACCTGGCGTCCATGATACTGGACAGGCAGTTTGGACACGATGACGTAGACACTCACAGCCACTCAATGATTGAGTCTTTGCGGTCAGGACGTAGCCTTCGCTAACCCGACAGGCTCCTATCACATGACCCCCTTCCAGAAGACAACAACCGACATCAACCTTGTAGAACATGTATAATCATTGCTGACCCTGTTTTCTTTGCTGACGACTGTGCAGTTGAATTCTGCATTTTACAACGATACAGCTGCTGACATGTGTAGGAGACAGGCTGTTACTAAGTCCCGTGCCTTCCTGTTTACACCAGCACACATGCCCAACAATAACAAAGAAGTATGGAAGTTCCCCTCAAGTTTTACACCTTAAGGGAATATTTTAGCCTCAATCCTCCCTTGTTTATTTTGGCCATGCATGTCCATCTCAGCTGATACGCTGCTCAGACGTCAGTCTCTCAGTGTGAGGATGATCTCCTCCATGAAGGTTTTCATTGTTTCACTGATTGCTCTAAATCTCTGGTTGGAAACATCGTGCTTGAACTGTGTTTACCCCACCGATCTTCCCTCGCAGCTCATTCTTTCCACCGTGTTTTGTCTCATTTTTCTTCGAGTTCACTGGTTCAGCTAGTGGAGCATTGAATAGTTTTCCTGTCGTATAACTTGAGAGTAAAATCCCTATTTTTGTCAATTACAACATTTGTGTTCGTACATGTGTGTGCCTGTGTGGGTGAGTGCATGAAGGCACACTGGGGATCCCTAGGTCTACTGCCTGGTGGCAAAAGGGTGGGTCACCTCTGTCAGCACAGGCAGGAATGTTCTGCACGCTCAGCATTTTACACAAACACACATGCACACACACACACACTGCATCTCAGTAGTAGCAGTGTGTGAATATACTGTAGTTGACATGCTCACATGTCATGTTTGATGCATAGGTTGGACTCGTCATTCTAAAGGGACCCAGTTAAGGACTAAAGCAGCGAGCACCAGGGCCTTGTTTATGGCTTCAATAATAAAAACTGTGCTAATGTCACATGTGGAATGAAATCTGTATAAATGATTAGCAGCTCTCTCACAGGAAAATTCTTTTCAAGTACATCTGTGTATAGTTTAAGCAAAGGTTCCTGAGTTTGTGAGGCAGGTGGTTTGATTTAAAGACGTAGGCAAACACGTTTGTGTGCACAGGTTTTCTAGTTCAACTTTGGAAACCTTTATGTTGTCAGCTTGTTGTGACTCTCTCACTTTTATACCTTTTAGATGTTTTTCTTCTCTCTGTGCTGCATCTGGAAACAAGTAACACATGAAAGACAAACCTTAATACTTAATGCTAACCTTTTCCTGTCTCTTTTTATTTCTTTGCAGAAGAGGTCGACTATGCTAACTTTGGCACCAACACAATAACACGCAGGAAGAAGGCAGTGGTCGCGCTGCGCAACAACGACATCAACCGCAAGCGGCCACACATCCGTATCGGCATGCCACAGGACTTCCGGCCTGTCTCCTCCATTATCGATGTGGACATCCTCCCTGAATCTCACCGTCGTGTCCGACTCTATCGCCACGGGTCAGACAAACCCTTGGGTTTTTACATCCGAGATGGAACCAGCGTACGGGTGACACCACACGGGCTGGAGAAAGTCCCCGGTATCTTCATATCCCGGCTGGTGCCCGGAGGCTTGGCGGAAAGCACCGGGCTGCTGGCGGTTAATGACGAGGTGCTGGAGGTGAATGGCATCGAAGTGACCGGGAAGTCCCTGGATCAGGTAACGGACATGATGATCGCCAACAGCCACAACCTGATCGTGACGGTCAAGCCAGTGAACCAGCGCAATAACGTGGTCCGCAGCAGCAGGATATCGGGCAGCTCCGGCCAGTCATCTGACAGCAGCGGATCGACTGGATATCCAAGTTTGTCAGTTGCCTCCATGGGAGCGGCGTCCTCAGGAGCACACGGATACCAAGACGACCTGGAGAGTGACGAAGAGACCGATATTGTCATTGAGAGCAGTATCAAGCGGCCGTCTCAGAGGTCAAACGCTTCCCTGGCATCAAGCGCGTCTCGCACACACCAGCAGACGCCAACGACGGTTCCAGGCCTCGCTGCACCTCCCAGCCCTCCCACACGCCCTTCATCGGTAGTCTCCACCGCCTCCTTCCGCTCCCAGCCGAGCCTCAACGGAGGGTCCCACCAGCAGCACCACCACCAACAGCAGCACAGCAGCCTTAGCTACCAGCTTCACAGAGACCTCAACCTGCAGCACAGCCTGCACCAACAGTCCCAGCACAGTCACCACCACGTACAGCCGCCGCATCACAGCAGCAACCCAGCGCTCCGCCACAGCAACGGCAGCCTGCACAAAATCCTCAGCTCCCTGAAAACGGACCCACGTCACAGTCTTGCGCTGCCCAGGGGAGGGGTGGAGGAGGATGGCACCGTCATTACCCTATAATACTTACAAACAAGCGCTCAGAGACATAAACATCCCAAACTGCTCAGAGACTCAAACTGGAAAGCGGATAAATATGAGCACAAGTGGGTTTTGTCCGATTTAAGTCGAGTAACTTCTGTTTGTTTTTGCAAGATAATAATAGGAAGTTGCGAGCCATGAAACAAGGAAACTGTATATATTTCTTGTATTTTTAAGGTTGTTTTTGTCTTAAAATGAAAAAACTTGTACGTATGTATGTAATAAGCATCGGATCAAATAACTGTTTTTAGGCGAGTCCACTGTATCGGATAGTTCTGAACGACATCTCCTGCTAGTGACCACTTTTATAAAGACCTTTCATTCTTATTACTGGGACCAACTTGGGGTTTCTTATGGATGTTTTTAAAGAGTAAATCTATATTTCTTATATTCTGATAAATGCTGTGTAGAGTATGATTTTTTTAATAGTTCTTTTATGCATTGATGATTGTGATCAAATCCTTGTATCTGTTCCAATAAATTATTCTGTCTCACAATCTATTGTTAACTGAATTATGTAATTAAAAAGCTATTGATTCTTAATCGTGATTATTACAAGACCTCTTGATCGTCACAACTGTTGGATATAGATAGTTTGCTTGATTCTGGAGATACATCAATTTGATACCAGAGTACTATTACTTTTTGGTTGTGTTTGTTACCACACAATGGGGAATTCAAGGTTTTTTAATCAGAAAATATTCAGTTACATATTGTGACTTTTAAAAAATGATTAAGTTAAGAAAGTGAATAGAAACTTTTCATTGATAGAAGAAAGTAGGATTATGTTTGTCTCAGATTCATTACATGACTGCTCCCCCAAAGAGAAACCAAAATGTCCAGATCGCCACCTGCTGACTGGTTGCAGTACAGTCATAAACCCGCCTTGTCTTTGTTAATGGATGAAAGGTAGACCAAAGTCAAAATACACAATCTTTTTCTCAAAGATGGTTTCTGTTATTTTAGGTAGCTGTATGTTAAAGTGTTGAACTTGCTGCACAATGGCTGCATTTGTATCTGGGATATTTGGGCTTCATTTCTGGAAAGGTGTAGGAAGTGGACACACATCGTCCATCTTTATACACAGTCCATAGTTTTACTTCAAATAAAATCTACAGTTTCAGAGCTTGTTGTTTGTGTATAAATGGAATGTAATTGAATTTGTTTCACCAGAGTTTGGTAGCAAACATTATGCAGTGGGTTCAGCTTTACTTGAATAAAATGTACAGTTCAGCTTGACTGGGTTTTAGAGGGAAAACTGTCCAAACAAGCATTTTAGGTTTCAACCCCTCAGAACAACAAGTCAGACGCTCTTCACTACAATCATCGGCAGACTCTGAAATCCGTCTTCTTTACCAGCCGCAGCATCTGGAGGACGGGAATTCAAAACCGTAAAACATGTCATAAGCTTCACGACATCTTTTATGATAATGCATTCCCCTCAAGGGTGTGACTTTCTGGAAAATACTGAGTCGCTGCCATTCTGCAGTTCAAGCAAACAAACACATTTACAGTTGATTATTTCAAGATGGTGAACAGTTGAGGGCAATCGAAAGCTTTATCAGAGTCTCTTATTGTCCATTAAACCCGCTGCAGATATGCAGATCTGCAGCTTCATGCAACAAGCCCATGCCTGTCGCAGGTTGAATGGAGGTCAAGTTTCAACACAGAATGATTCACTGTAGACATCAGAAAGTGACGATGAAGAATTTAAAGGTAGAATTGTACTTTTCTTCAGACACACTGGTCTTTATCATCCTCTGACTGTTGGCTGCAGCCGTTGCATCCGACCTGGACGTGCAGGAGGAATGCAGCTCTGTCGCGGGTCAGAGGCCTTTCAGCAGCAACAAACTCCTTTCACCTCTCTGCTAATGAATGTTTGTCTGTTGTGTTTACCCAGCGTGTGACGCTGCTCTAACAGAGAACACATCATCGACATCCAGCTGCTCTGCTTCGGCTGTAATGTGCACCGCCGAGCAGCAGATTGTGGGTTCAGTGGGAGACCTGAAACCCTGTCTGTCACATTATTAGTCATTGCTATCAGTGACTGTCAATCATGTGGTGACCTGCACATGAAGGAAATGCTCGGTGATAAGTGATTCTTATCTGGCAAATTAATTTAAAATAAACTGCATCTAAACTACGAAAATGTTAAGTTTAAAGTGGAAAAAAACTTCTTTTAAGATAATTGAATGCCTCCCATGTGATTCTTCTACGATGTCCACATACATATTTGAGAGGATTTCATTTCTGCATCTTCTCTCCAAATAAACTGAGTTAACAGGAAACGATATATTCTGTGCACTTAAAGGCGATAGAAACAATTTTTAACCAAAGTCATAGTTTGTGTTTCTTCATCAGACCTGTGGACACAAATCAAATCCGCTGCAATGATTCTGGCTGCCACAGGCAATGAACATCAGGGTGACAAAAATAATCACATTTGCAATTCTTTTATTGTTGATTATTAATTTGCCATAATGAATCAATGGTGATTTATTTATTTTTTTTTTGGTTGATGGAGATTAAGCTTTATTTTTTTTAAACACGTCAAACTTACTGTGAACCTTTAGACACATCATCATGCCTCTCCTGTTTCAAAAGTATTTTGTTTGTTTATTTATATTTTTATATATATGCATACAAATCTAATATATTCAAATGCAAATACATTGATCCATCAAACAAAACAATTGATTGTGCACAGAAATAAACAATAACATTATCAACGTTATTCGTATTATGGTATTAGTTTTTTTTATCATTTCTTTTGTCTTTTTATTATTATTTTATCGTTATTAAAGCTGGTATTTTAATCACAGCATTTGTATTTGTATTTGTGAATTTGTGTCACTTGTGAAGCACTTTGAACTGAGTGAAAGGTGCCGTTCAAATAAAGTCTGGGTTCAGAAACATGTTTTAATCACACATGTAATAAACAGGGACATATCATCTACAGTGGACTGACTGTGTTTTTCTCAGCGCTTTGTTGTGCTCCACTGCTTTGACCCTCGCGACGCACCGTCGTCTTCACAGCACACGTGACACGGGTCAGCTGACATCGCGGTGAAAACACAGCAGTAGATCAGGGAAGAGGAGACATGGAGCATCGTCCGGTGGACAGGGTGGGCCTGCTGTCCCCCCTGGAGGAGTCCAGTGCGGAGATCAGCCGGGACAGCGGCATCGTGTCGCAGAGTGCCAGCAGCCTGTCCATGGTGAGCGAGATCCTGAGCAGCGGCTCCGTGTCGCAGAGCCCCAGCTTCGGCGCCGCGGCCAACGTCGTCCCCGAGAGCCCGAGCCTCCACGAAGCTGCGGAGCCCGGGACGACGAGCCGGGACGACCCGGAGCAGGACGACGAGGAGCTGGGACACACCGCCCTCAGCTACTCCTCCTACATCAGGGCCTCCGCTGGAGAGGAGGTCGGTGCTGCTCACTTTCACTCGCCGTTATTGACAACAATTTTTTGGGGTTGCCAGACTGCGAAATCCCCCCCTCAGCATGGCACTACTTCTCCTGTCTCCATTCAACCATCTTCCCTCTGCAGGACCAAAATCAATACAAATTTAATTCATCTGAACAATTAATCTGGCTTTTAAGGCGTAGACCTACATCAACTGTGATTAAAGTTAACATAATTTAACAACTGATGGAGGAAAGTTAGAGGAAACCAAACTGTAGTGAAGTGATGTGACCCTCAAATTACAGATGTTTCTTAAGGCTTTAATCAATGTATTTATGGTTTATGATTAATAAGTCACTTCCTTATCTTTTATAGATCAGTTGTAAGCTATGATTGAGAACCAGATTGTGGAATGACACATCTCTAACTGTCTACCTTCCCTCTGGAAAAGGGCTGCAGGACATATGGACCAAAATCCATTGAAATAATATGAATAACAATAAAAACAGGACTGCTTGGGGAGAGTGAAGGTACTGAATGTGTTTTGTTAAGCTCTACTCATGATGACCGGCTCACTGTCACTCATGAGTTGACATTAAGTGGATATGCATGACAGCAGACACTGAGTGAGCTGACTCTGTAAGAAGACAAAGCTCCCTGTGATTTTGGCCGAGCTGAAAGAATTTAAGGACCGTTGTGTGGGGGGGGGGGCTGGATTTGAAGTGCACAGAAAGTCACACAAGGTTTAACTCGTTTGACTCAGTGTGTGGTCAGCAGCTTTAGTTTCCACATAGTTTGCAAGTATGTGTTTGACATTTTACAACCTCTTCTTCTCTTTCAATGATTCCTCCTCCAGATCCTGTGTTTGGAGAAGAGTTTGGAAGAAATGCTGACGAGAGTAGATGAGTTTGTTGGAATGCTGGATATGGTAAGTTAGTTCAGGCTGTGTAACACTGAAAGACTAGGTGTTATTATTATTAAGATCGTTATGGGTGCACTGGATCTGATTTGAACCAAACGAGAAGTATATTTGTCTCTTGTAACTCTTTGGTGTTTTGTCTCCAGATCCGTAACGATACCTCCCAGATAGTGAATGAAAACCTACCTCAAATCCAGCAGAAGTCTGATGAAATGAGACAAATATACAGAAGAATTGATAAGTTAGAGGTAAGTGATCGTGGTTAAAGTGAAATGATGCTTTTGTATAAAATGATTTGTTTGTTGCTTTGGTAATACACGTTATCCAGTAAATATCCTCCTGTGAAGGAAACTACACCAACAACAATTGTGAAATTAATGAAACATGTGATGTAATATGATATATTAGATTTCCTCCACACAAGAGGAGAGAGTTAGAGAAATAGTGAACTCACCACTTCCTGTTTTCTTCTGTCAGTAGTGGAAATAAACACTGGACTTGGGAGGTTCTTGTTTTGATATGTAATAATGTTCCACACACACTGAGAAGCTAACTGAGACAGAGGCTGCTGAGCTAACACAAGATAAGATAATCCTTTATTAGTCTCACAATGCTATAATTTGCAATATTACATCAGCAGAGTGTAAGGAAATATAAAAGATATGAATGGAATAAAAACGAATACACACAGTGTACATACAGAGAATATGTTTAAAAAAAGTATGTTCTCTCTTTCTGCATTTTTAGAAATTATCTGGGCATAATATGCAAGTGGCCTTTTAAGCCTTTTGTTTTACATGTGTGGCAGTATTTTGAATTTAGTTTCCTGGTGCAATATCCTTTTGCCTAGAGTTAAGATTTTCTCACCTTTTTGCTGTGTTGCTCTGCTGTCGACAGGCCTTTGTAAAGATGGTCGGGGCCAACGTCAACGCCATGGAGGAGCAGGTCACGCAGGCAGAGGGAGAATTAGGAACACTACCGGGTGCTTTCAAGAAGATCCTCCGCACAATGAGCGTCCCAGGCTTTCTAAATGTAAGAGCTGGTGAATCTGCAGCTTTACACAGTTTGTCTGTATCGATGAATTTAATGTGGTTTTGGGATCAATAGTGAACTGTGGTGTGAAACTGTCTTTTCTTATGCAAAGTAAAACAGGTCTGAGGCTACATCCATTCAAATATGTTTTAATTTGAACACAAACACCAATCGTTGTGCACGATAGTTAAA